CACAATGCATTAGGCCTACCACTCAGCACGGGATCTGTAAGCACGTGGAGATCATTGAAGTAGCAGTGTTTAAGCTAGACCAATGTTACTATGTAAAAATATACACTGCCTAGAATTCTGCTTTAAATAAAAGATCTTTGGGTACAAAGTCCACTTCAAAGACTTGCCAATTCCTGTTTCTTTGATGGCTGCTACGGAAAAGATTCACAGTACTGATTTCACAGCCTTAAATTGTGTCTAAACCCAAATATAGAAAATTATTATATTGCAGCCTACCAGGTGTTAGATGAAGTGCCTGCATTAGTTTTCTTTTTTTGGCATTTTCCTGTTTATTTATAACTGGTAAATCTGAAAATGCACACACTCCCAGTCCCTGGGTAACTACACTTATTCCTCCACTGTATTAACCAAAGGGGAAATAGACATCAACCATTCTAGACTTCAAATATGTCTGCCTATGTTCATCTCCAATACATGGGTTATGATGGGATTTGTTGTTTACACAAGAAAGATAACATTGTTTTACTCTTGTTCAGGTCACGGTAAGTGAAAGAAACTGCATTTTTGGCAAGATCAGCAGTTATTTTTTTGTATTTGTCTAGGGCTTGTATCTTATAGACAAGTTTGCAACACTTTCAGGATTAATTCACCACTTCTTGTTCACTTCAAGTAAAAATGGCAAATCCTCCTCTCTGTAATCACTGCACAATGTTAGGTGAACAGCCTGAGAGAAGAGATAAAGTAAGTGACGTCAGGAGCAGGACTTGGTGGTATCATCTGTACTGAGTTTTCCTGTACACAGACTCGGTACATATATCGGTGTGCAATGATTACAGAGCTGGAGGAAAAATATACTGTGTTTGCTTAAAATGCTCTTGGCCTAAAAAGAAAAGAAAATGATTTCAGCTACCACATCTGAAGATTAGTAAGCTGAAATATATTATTTTTTATGATTAGTAATCATTTAAAGTATATCTGTGCTTTGCCACACAGTGCAAAGAAACAGGTTCACATCAATGCAAACTTCAACAGATGCATATATTCACCTTCCATTTTCTCCATTTAGCGACTGGGAGTAAAATAAAAACTGTGTAAGCAACAAATGACAAAATTGTATCTTACTTAGGGCTATGGATGCCACATGTGACAGCAGTGATTGGCCCAGTGTTAACACATGGAGTGAAACACAAGCTACTCCATACCTAAGATGTCCTTCAGCATCTGATGCTGAATAGAGTAGCACATAGTGTGGTTTTTCTGACATAAGTTTATTTTGCTTAGGGTAGTGGGGTTAAAGCAAAGCTGTTCCTTTGCCTTGAATGGGCAAAGTGCAGGTTTGCATTAACATGATTCACAGTATAGCAACCAAATTATTTACTGGCCTTGCAATATTAATCAGTATGTTGGCTAGGAGTAACTTCTAGGAGGAGGTCAAAAGGGAGTACTTTTCAAAGCAGATGTAGAAATAAGAAATTGTTTCCCTGTTGATATCCTTTTATTTAGCAATCGAAATGTGGAAGTTATGGTGTCTATGTAGGTGGATGTCGCACATTTTATGTTTTGTTAAAATGTTCTATTGTTTCCCTGCTGATGTATGTGGATAAACTTCTGAATTGTAGCATAAATGTTTTGCACAGTTTAGTTGTGTTTGTCCTGTTGAGGTGGTTCTCCATAGGAGGTAAGGGTTTTAAAACTTCTGGCAGGTTTTCTAAGGCTCTTTGGGGAAGAACCACCCCCTTCTGGGGCAAACACATAAAAAGGGAGGGGAACACCTTTTGGGGGCACTGCAGTTAGTAAGATGGCCAGAGGTATGATTCCTGGTTACCCCAATAAGGAACAAGGAGGACATTAGAGATGTAATGTCTAACCCACCTTGCAGGAACCCCATCTGGGTTCCAGTGGTATGGATGTGTGCTTCTTATCTAGGGGTTTAAGGGCTTCTCTCTCCTATTAAGGTATGACTAACTCAAGGGGCAGGGGCACCCAGGAGCAATTAGAAGATTATATACAGGAATCTGTATTGAAGACTTCTTTCTTGTTATATTTACACAACCTCAGTAAAGAACTTTTGCTGTTATGTAACTTTGCCTGGTCTGAAGTTACTTGAGAACAACCTTAAAGGGGTGCATGCATGCTTGATGTACAACAGAAAATGGGTTTCATAGAAGAGAAGATGCAGCACATATGTCTAATGTGCAATTAAGCTATTCAGAGGAGGCTATATTGCCATTGTCAAGGACTACAGTACTGTTGCTGAGTGCATAAGCATACAGCCGGTTGGGAGGGGGTGTGGCTTGGAGTAGGTGATGGAGGGCGCAGGTAATGAAGGAGCTTGTGTGCTTGGGCCCCTCCCCTCATAACTAATATGCCACTATGGAACCAATATCATGGCACAGGGTATCCTAGAGACCCAGCCCATGCAAATTTCATAAAAGGCTTGCAAGAAATAAAATGACTTAATTCCTCCATCAACACAGTAAGTGTGATGGGGAAACCCCTCCCACAATGCTATTGTATTCTGCCTGCAGGGGCAGCCTTCCCTTCCGACAGAACACAATGATTACTGCTGGGGGCTATAGCTGCCAGCAGTACTCGCATGTAAAAAATCCAACCAGCTGGTTGTACTGAAGTCACGGTGCTGCACAGGAGTCATGCTTCCTAGTATTCAAGTGTAATATACAAATCTACTGTATGTCACTGGGAGTGAGGTGCTGGTGGAGTCCGGTACAAGCTCAGCAATACTGGCTCAGAAATCCTGCACAACAAAGAGAGAGAAGAGTTATGAAGTATAATGAGGAACTGTTATCCATAATGTACAGAGTGTAATGAGTTAAAGAACTATGCCACAGATTAAAAGGAGATAATCATGGTGTTATGGGGAAGTGTCACTTTTAAAGTGCTGCCTTAACAACAGCTTTGCGTTAAATGGCAGCCACAACCTGACTTTGGGGGCTCTAAAGAGCACTCTCTTCGGGTCCCCATATGAGCACAGTAAGCACCACACACGTGTTTTTCACTGTTTGCAAAAGATCAGCTATAAACTTGGATTGATTTGTCAACATTTTATAAAAATTAAGTATAAATAATGTGAATGATTATAATTGCCACAATGATCATCATATTCTATTTAAATTATGCTATAGTGCAGGTTATGCACTGTAATATAACTAATAATTTTACAATATCAATAAAAAGATATATATATATATATATACAGTATATATATATATATATATATTTTTAGTATTGAACAAATTTGACAGTTTTGGAAGGTAACTTTCATTTTATAGAGGATGTTCTTGAAATTCTCTTGCCAATCAAAAGTTGAAGTGTAGCTATATTTTAATGAACAATATGGGCAAGCAACTTATGGTGCGTGATAAATCTTGATGAGAATGAAGTAGCCCTGACACAGAGTACATGTGTTATTGAATTTAAAATTGATAGGTAAAATGCCCCAAAGGCATCAATGCTTATCAGCAGAGGTTTCTGACTCTCATTTTCAGCTTCTGTCAAACCTGACAAGACTTAATATACTGTTAGCATAATTGCAAATTATATTATGATATTTCAAAATCACTGTAAAAACATTTGCATAACACCTTGGTCATGCTAGATATATTTCCTTCGTGTGGCAAGTGTGTTGATAAATTTGCAGGGTGAAAGATGAATGTGTTATATAAAGTATGTCTTAGCCAGAATATTCTAAATAGCTCGGGGGTAAATATAGTGTATTATGACCTAGAATGCAGTAGAATGTTGGTGATATAGCAAATATCAAATTACAGGAATTCATTAAACCAAGTACCATTTATTGAATAAAACAGTAATATGAGAAACATTGTGAAGGCAAATTGTGCTGTCATTTTCTACATCTGCTCAGGGACTATTATTTAAAAAATGTTTAGCAACCTATAAAACAAGATAATGTTTAACAGGAACAGTTGCTGGCAAATTTTAAATATATAAAATTGGTAAAACTTTTTTTTTTTGCAGCTACCATAACCAGATGGAACAAAGTGAGATATTTCTACCTACTGGAACAATATCCACCGCTGCTGAGGCTTACATCCTGCTATAAAGAGAGACAGGAACCAAAGATGGGGTGCCTGCTTTGTAACTTATGCCTACCTTTATAGAAAGGAGATTGCACATGCTATGTGATCAGTTCCATCCTATACAGATAGACAGGGTTCATGGCATGAGGGTAGATACTGTGATCCACCACCTGCTAGAAACATATATCGCAAAAAATCCCCAGCATGTTTACCAGCTAGTCAGTATAAAAATAAAATTTAAACTGCTTTAGCAACTTGCATTAAAAATAGATTTGTGTTGTAAACTTTTTCAAATATATTTGAAGCTAAACTGCCACTTAAAAGGCAACTCTGCAAAGTGTGATCCTTATCTCTAGTCTAATATAGCTTCACTTTTGGGACATATTGTATATAGAATAAATAGAGCAGATATTGCTTGGAGGTAAGCCATTCTTCCTTAAAGTGTCAGGGACATACAAAAAGCTCAGAATTAGTCTGTTTCACTGAATTCTAACCAGCTAAGTGAATATGGCAACAACTCAAACCAATTTACACCTAGCAAATGAAAGGTGCCAATGACCAGGCCAGTTCACAGAACAATACATTACCAACTTTTCTTACTCATGTAAAATTAATTTTGCTAGGTTTAAATTGATTTAAGTGTTTGTTATTTATATTTTTCTTGTTGGATTTGGTGCATATACACACTGGAGGTCTCAAGCTTCAATTGAGTTTTGGGCTTTTTGTGCATCTCTACACCTTTAAGAAGTGGCCATGATCTGTTTGTGATTTACTTATAGTTATATATTATGTCTCAAGATGGGAGCTCTGTTACACTGTAGTTAGGAACCACACATTGCAGAAGTGCCTTGGCATGAGTTTGACATCACATACTGTACATTTGTTACATAGTTAGTCTGGTTGAAAAAAGACTCCATCCAGTTTATCCAATTTAAATTTATTTTATGAGATTCTTGTAGAAAATTCCAGGAAGCCCAGTTCAGATGTCAGCAATCTTCTCCTGAGCTCTGAGAAAGCTTGCTTTTTTCTAAGCAATGGGTCTTTCTTCTGTGCCAGGGACATTTTAATCCTGGCATAGGCAATCTGGCAGATGATGTTTCTGTTAGTGACATGCAAAATCATCCTGTATCTGGGAGTGTTGTAGTTGTTTTTGTCCTGGTTGACTGGTCTCTTGGGGGAATAGTAGGCAGTTTGGCCCTCTCTCCTTCTGCGGAACCTAACCTGGTACCTCTTAAAATAAGCTTTGTCTTTTACAACCTTTACAAACCCCATTTTGCTGGATTTTGTTTCATCAAGGCTAGGATTGAAGAGTCACATCACTTACATAAGGGTGCTGGAGAACTGGGAAAAAAAGTAATATATGTAAAAAAAAAATCTCAGTTTTTAACACAAAATTTTCAATCAGTTTAGAATTTCTTTTTGTGCTTACCAGCTTGTAAATGTACCAAGTATTTTTTTGTCTTTAATTTCTGTTAACTCCTTACTCTTGCTCTTGCTCATGTGCTCCTTACTCTTGCTTGACATAAATTGATCTAAGTAGTTATCTTGCTATATAGACAGGCAAGAACTACAGTAGGAGGGTGCTGTATTGTTTACTACTGTTTCCAAAAAAGCAACAAATGACACATAGAAAAGGAGCCTACACTGTGACCTACTGCCTGCTATAGAGAGATTCAGGAACCATAGAAGAAGGGGCTACACCTGAGGTGCCCAACATGTAGCTCATGGCTGGAATCTAGCCAGCTTTCTCTATGTGCGTGGCCCACCACCTATCGGGCACTAGAGAGCAGCAGAAAGGCAATGGAGTAGCCAGGCAAGACTCTACTGTGAGGCAATAAGAGTAATCTATGCCTACAGTACAAGTAAAGTTCTCTGAGAAGGTATATCCCTCACCAGAGCTTAGGGTACAATATTTAGAATTTCACCAGCTCTGCTTGAAATCAAGTAGATGCCAAAAATAATTGGTCACCCAGGGTAAATTTTTTATTTTAACGTACCTTGGGCAACATGTTGAGAACAGGAGTTTTAGGGAACTTTATATTAATCTAATTAAATTCCTTTTTTTTTTAAATCACATCACCTTTTTTTTCTTAAAAATTGAAAATCAATTGTTTTTTGTACCTTCTGTGACAACTTGGGGGTTTTTAACTCAGGGAAGCACACAATGAAACATATCTCTTATTATTGGTGAAGGCAGAGGAGTCTAAAATACAGCTGATCTCTCCATAAATAGTAGTTGTCACTGCACAGGGTGTTGTTCATGCCTTGTAATAGCAATAAAGTTGAATTAAAAAAATAAATGTAAATAAGTTAAAACCCTCCCACCTCCAAATGAAATGTGCACATTGGTTATGCAGCTGTAAACAGTGGTTGAAGCAAACATATGAGGTATTGCTGCAAACGTCAAGGTGAAAGCAATAATTTTAGCATTAGAGTTCACATTTAACTCTGAACTGACAAGCTGTAAGGGCTTTTAAAACATTGCCTATCATTAAATTTAGGTACTATTGGTTGCTATTTCAAAGGAGTGTAGACTTTTAATCTTGACATGGTTGTTACCTATTTACTCAACACAACATCACATTTTATATATTACCAAAATTTGGTTTATATTGGGTTTATAATAGGTGTATAATTATATTGTGTTTGTGCACACTAAAATTAATTACAGTATGTATATTTTTTCCTGAAAATTTGCATTTGATAACTGACTATGCAAATATTGGGTGACATAAAATAACAGCCAACACTTTATTCTCCGGGGCCTTTGCTTTCATAAAATGTAAAATATTTTGGGGTTTTGAATAATTTTCTAGCAAAAATAAAAAATGCTAATTTTAAAATGTGTGTGAGAAGTGTCAAAATTGTTCCAGATAGCATTGTTAAATGTGTGATTAACATTGCATTCAATAAAACAAGCTAGTAGCATATTCAAGAATCACATGGGAAAGAGGACTGTTTTGGGAAATTTTCAGTGTTTCATTTTGAACATAATTAAAATTGCTGCTTCCTAAAAAAACTGTATTTTTAAAACATTTTTTTGCATCAGTACATGTTCTCCTTGGAAGTGCCCAGTCCCCATGCCATTTGTTTGACCATCTCTTGCCTATTAGCCTTGAAAATGGTCAAAGTTAATTTTAATTATTTGACTCCTATTCACTTTAATGGGGTTCAGAGTAACATTCAGAAATTGTGAGCTGTTTGGTGAACATTGTTTCAGCTCGCAATTATGCAGGTAAATAGTTACAGTGGCTGACAAATAACTGCTCAGTTGTGCAGGGTCCCAAAAAGAGATTTTCTTTCTTTGTTCAGCTACTATTTATTTCACAAAAATATTCTTCTATCATTCAGCCATTAAAAGAATATTAATAACAAATAACATTATTATTATTATTATTAATATAATAATAATAATAATATTAGCAATATACAATTTGTGCTATATTTAGATTTTGTTTATGCAATGAAATGTTTAATTTGACATAAGTCTAGAGAGTATCTTTTTTAATTATAAAATGGGGAATCAACTTTACCAAACTGTCGAGCATCTGTCTCACGGAGCACTTGCATCTTTCAGTATTTCACCCTGGAGGATGAATTGCTCTGTAAAGCAAACTCGTTGCAGACCTTCAGAGGGAAAGTAAGCCATAAAGAAGATGAAAGATTTTGACACTGAAGATTTCTGGCTAAGAAACAGGCATCATCTTATTAAATTGCTTTACGTAAACCTGAAGGTAAAGAAATAAGTTCATGTCGGAAGAGATAACTTTTTTATATTTCACATTTACAAAGGGCATTTCCCTGAGCCTGCAGAAATAACAGTGCACCTATAGACTTGCTTCTAAAGCATCTGTGCTTTCCTGTGGTTCATGTTTTTTTTTCAAGGATGTATCTTTCTTTCTTTCTTTTTTTTTTTTTATAAGGAAAAAAAAATAAGCCCTAGCTGAAGTAAAGAATTCCATTTTTAAATCCTTAAACTAGAACTATGGCCTTCTGCAGTACCTAATTAGGAATGGAGAGGAGTCTTGTTTAGTAATTAGCTGAACACACCTGTGTATGGTTTCAGCAGGGTTTAGGGGAGCATAAACCCTGCTCACGTTCCGTTGTCAAATCTGAACGGCATGGCAATCAATAGGGGCAGAATGTTAAAAAACAATTCTTGCGATTTTCTGACGTAATAGGCAAAGGATTGTCAAAAAATAGCAAGAAGTGCTGGGCACTGCCCTCTAGGACATGTAATAAAGCAAAATAAATAAATACATAAATAAAATATTTTGTTGGGCTAGAGCAGCAATGGGCAAACTACGGCCCGGCGGACCTTTTAATCCGGCCCGCGGAGCTAGGCTCCCGCTCGGCTCCTCTCACAGTCCGCCCTGAAGACCGGTGTAGCATGAAAATCTGTCTCCTATGAGGATCTGTCCCCCTCGACGTATCTGCGCATGTGCCGGAGATCGCCGATCGGCTGCTAATGCCTGAAACTGGCACATGCGCAGATACGTCGAGGGGGACAGATCCTCATAGGAGACAGATTTTCATGCTACACCGGAACGGCGCGGGAATACGGCGAGAGGAACGCGCGGAGCAAAGGTAAGTGAATTGACACAGGGGGGACTTGGGGACTTAATATGGGGAATGAATTAATATGGGGAATGAATTACTTTAGGGGGGATGAATTACTATATGGGGGATGAATTACTATGGGGGATGAATTACTATGGGGGATGAATTACTATATGGGGGATGAATTACTATGGGGGATGAATTACTATATGGGGGATGAATTACTATATGGGGGATAAATTACTATATGGGGGATGAATTACTATAGGGGGGATGAATTACTATATGGGGGATGAATTACTATAGGGGGGATGAATTACTATGGGGGATGAATTACTATATGGGGGATGAATTACTATAGGGGGATGAATTACTATAGGGGGGATGAATTACTATATGGGGGATGAATTACTATATGGGGGATGAATTACTATGGGGATGAATTACTATATGGGGGATGAATTACTATATGGGGGATGAATTACTATGGGGGATGAATTACTATAGGGGGGATAAATTACTATAGGGGGGATGAATTACTATATGGGGGATGAATTACTATGGGGGATGAATTACTATATGGGGGATGAATTACTATGGGGGATGAATTACTATATGGGGGATGAATTACTATGGGGGATGAATTACTATATGGGGGATGAATTACTATATGGGGGATGAATCACTATGGGGGATGAATTACTATATGGGGGATGAATTACTATATGGGGGATGAATTACTATGGGGGATGAATTACTCAGGGACACCCCTCCAACATATTTCACCTGATGGGCCTAATCATAGAGGATAAAGAGAGTAAAACATGTTAGAGGGTTTGTCCTGTATGCAGGACCATGTGCTGAATCCTAATGCCCCATCGGCAGTATGCTTCATCATACCTTTTTTGTCTTTTGGGATAATGTTTTTACATGACTAAATAAATAATGACAATTGTAAGCACCTATGTCAGTGTTAAATGGTTTGTCCCACACTTAAACTGAAAAATTTGCAGAACAGCTTGTTCTGTTGAAAAATAACAGACTTATTAGCTGGGTCACCAGATGAAAATAAAGGAAAATAAGGCCTAAAAAAAAGAAAACTAATGCAGCCATTACATTCTATGAAGTGGTCATTTGCAATATAATAATTGTTTGAAAAATGTTTAAATGTTTGAAACAAAACAGAAGCCATCTTCTGCCACATCATCAAAATAAAAGCCAGGTCAGGGTCTTCCTTGCTATAACTAGTTATTATAGGAAGTTTATCCCAAATGTTGCAGCTTTTGCAACCCCATTTACTGACCTTACCAAAGGGATAGAGCATCCTGTACTCCCTAAATTTTACAAAGATTTTGTAATTCAAACTGTAATTCAAACTGTATGCATCTGATGCTGGTCTGGGAGTAGTGTGGTCACAGGTAGAAGTTATGGAGGAATACTCTGTAGTGTATTCTTTATATACGTGCGCTACCAAAATTATACATCAAATGCAAAAATGCTCAGCATAATAACAACAACAAACTTTTTTTACATGTGCAAACAGAAATAAACTCAGTGTAAAGTGCATCAATTAATCCAATATGTAACTAGGTTGTTTAAAAGTCCAAAAAGTGCTCAATGCAAAAGTGCTCAGTCCATATACATCCAAATGACTATTGTGAAAAAGCCATTTCAGCCTCTTACCGGATCAATTGATCTTGACACAGAGATCAATATGCTCTTGTGTATGCTTTTAAGCAACGCTGGCTATGTTGATCTCTCACAGCCACAATATACCAGTAAAGAAGGGAACTTTTTTCTCAAATACCCAGCTATATACATTTATTGATAGAGATACCTCCAGATGAATGTTATAGCCATGTCCATTTGCAGGAGCCCCTGAGGAAGATTACAATGTGGCATTCATCTTGGTGACCTGAAGACAAGGTCTGCAATGATGGGGAGACCCTCTAGCCATTGTGCAACCAGTCTGGAAAGCAACTTCTTACATACAGAATCTGTAGTGTGGCACTGGAGCTCAGAGTCACCTACACACTGAGGCGGTTTTTAAGTACTTTTGCGTTAAAAAAGTGCAAGAAAAGCTGAAGAAAAATGCTTCCCTATGTACAGTAGGTTTATGTATGTCTTCACACTGGTCCATTTTTTTGGTGTAATAAATCTTGCTTGCCGCATTTTTTTTTAGCAAATTTGGTCAGTTAAGAAAAACGCAGCAAAAACGCACCAACCCATTGATATGCATTGAAAACACAGAAAACATGCATCAAAAAAACATAAAAAACACACCTGTGTTGTGTTTTTTGATGCGGTTTTTGAGTAACATATCCTGTGAAAAATACTCCACAATTGCAGTAAAATAACAGCAAAAATGGTGGCAAAATCATATATGAGTTTTTGCCATGGTTTTGCTACTGAATAGTGTGAAAATGCCCTTAGTCAATGGTAGTTTGTAATTGGATTTGCAACCAGACTCAAACTTCCAGAAGTGGTCGTCGGATGCCTAACCTGGATCAAACGTATGCTGGTTATTGAACCCTGAGCTAAAACAAGCTGTAGAAACTCAGACCAGAAGGGACAGAGTTAACTAAAATAACAACAGCTGCATATAAACTATTACAATGAACAGGTTCACCTTCCAAATATACTGGAAGGTGACCACTACATACATACAGTAGTACTTTCACTGGAACTAAGGGGCCAAGCGCAACCCCTTTACACTTGGCACAATGCAGTCAGGCAAGTACAGTTCTCCTGGAAACCACCAAACCCAGACACACTCATCGGATTGCCAGACAGAAAAGCGTGATTTGTCATTTCACAGAGAACATGTCTCCACTACTCTAGAGTCCAATGGCAGCATGCTTTACATCACTGCATCCGACGCTTTGCAGTGCACTTGGTGATGTAAGGCTTGCATGCAGCTGCTCGGCCATGGATACCCATTCCATGAAGCTCTCTATGCACTGTTGTGTTAATCTGAAGGCCACATAAAGTTTCGAGGTCTTTAGCTATTGATTCTGCAGACAGTTGGCGACTTCTGTGCACTGTGCGCTTTAGCATGTGCTGAACCCACTCTGTCATTTTAAGTGGCCTACCACTTTGTGACTGAGTTGCTGTTGTCCCCATTTGCTTCCACTTTGTTATAATACCACTAACAGTTGAACGTGGAATAATTAGTAGCAAGGAGATTTCACGGATGGACTTATTGCACAGGTGGCAACCTATCACGGTACCATGCTTGAATTTAATGAGCTCCTGAGAATGACCCATTCTTTCACAAATGTTTGTAGAAGCAGTCTGCACGCCTAGGTGTTTGATAGTATACACCTGTGGTCATGGAGGTGATTGCAACACCTGAATCCATTGAATTGAAGGGGTGTCCCAATACTTTTGACTTTATAGTGTATGTGTTGATTGGCAATATCTAGAAACACCTGTAGAAATGATGACGGCTTAATCTGACCACAAAAAGGCTTATTGTGATCTCATCTCAGGTACCATATATGGTGGAACTTCATTGTAAACATTTTAATAAGTTGAACATTTTCTGTAATTTTCTTGCATTCATGTTTTTGCACAGACCATAATGTTAAAAATCTCAAGTGACCAATATAATGAAAATGAAACTGTAATTTTATATCAAAACTGAGATTTCATACTTATACCATATGTTTTTCCATGAAAGGAAAATTTGTGAAAATACAGTAATGGAAAGAGTGAAATCTCTACTTCTGCAGAGACTGGATATGCCAGTTATGAACAGTTTGCCTGCTGATTCAGTGTAGCTCACTGGTAATTCCATCTAATGTCTACTGACATCCTTATGTTCTGGCATCTGTTTGAAGCACACTTGTTGCTTATCCTATAGCTCTTCCCCTATCAGTTTCTGTTATATTCAATTGTGCAAACATAACCTATTTTCCATTTCAAAATAGGGTGCAATTGTAAAGTTGTAAATGCTATATACAGGTATTTGTTATTCTGGAATATTTAATAACCTATTACATGAATGGAAACTTGTCAAATTGTAACAAATTGCAAACACATAGTACATGTCAGGAAAGGTTACTTCAGGCAACTGCATTCATACTGTATACACAATGTGTATACTATTGCTATTGGCCAATTCCAGTAAAAATATTTATTATAATGATGTATGTAATTTTCATTTGTGTGCTACATTACTAAATATGCTGCTGGAGTGTAAGCCTTGTCTGTAATTGTGTGTAAAACGCTAGTATTATAGTTGCCATTTTTTGTTAAAGCATTAGTAAACCGCAAAAAAAACAATTGGGCCCTAGCAGGATAATGTCATAATATGCTGCTATGCATCACATAACAGACGTACCTTAGAACAAAGCCCTCCAGTGATGCGCTATCACCGCTGTAGGTTCTTCCATCTTCACCCGGTCTTCCTTCTTGGTCTGGAGGCTTTGACCGTATGAATGGCTGAGCCACGATGATGTCACTCCTGAGCATGTCCATGGGAGGCAATGCTATAGCACAGAGTTCCTTTTCTGGGAGGAGACCATCCCTTCACTGTCCCTCTGTAGTTCTGCAGATGTTTACATAAGCATAGTAGCATAGTAAAAAGTGTACTCACCTTCCCACTTTCATCACCAACTCTCCCCACCCTTCTAAGCCTCTCTTCAGATAATCGACTGATTAGCTTACACCTTCAGTATTTTTCATTCGAACAGTCGGAATTGGCTGTCGAAAGCACTATACCAATGTTCAGATATTCAACCGATTGTTCCTCGTATGTACTGTACATGTTCATACAGTTTTTTTATATTGTGGGAAAGCTTAGCCCAGCCAGACTCCCTGATGGGAATAGAATGGAGACCTACTACAGTATGTTTCCATAACAGACTAGGAGTTTCATAGCACCTCTCCTACAACACCTGACTATGGAAAAAGTTATATCTGAACTCTAATGTACATCTTGTACGTCCCAACATATTTGGAAAAAGGTCTATGGAAATAATTCACTGTTTAATAATATGTTAAATGAAGCAAAAAAGAAGCACGTTAATGTCATCCTAGGTACACAACCACTCAACAGGGGTCCCCTCCGGCAGGACTGGACCCAGGAACACTACTCCTTGCTGCTCAGGCCCCAGACAACTTATGGGCTCTCTCACCAGCTTCTGGGCACCACTCACCTGGGATTGGCTGGAGTACCATAAATATTCAGGCTGCCCACTCTGTCTTTCCATCTACTATGTCTCTGTAATCCTCTAGAAGGTAGGGGGGAGCAACAATGCAGCAGCCTGTGAAACATTGAGCAGCCCTAAGTAATCAACACCTGCTCCTCTGATTACAGTGGAGCTAAACTAAATTTTCCCAGTAGCTTACTTCACACTAGGAGGATGTTAGATACAGAACAGCCAATACCTGGTTTTGGTCAGGAATGAGTGGTGGAGTAGTAGAGGAGAGTTTGTTTTCTTGGGGGTGGTAGGCAAAGTTCACCTGTGTGCATGTGCCTGATAGCCTGGGCCTCCATGGCTCATTGAGTTTGGGCGGTCAGTGGAACCTCTTGCTGACTAGACTTTGAACCACTTAAAAAGCAGAGACCTCTCATAAGTGACTGAGCATATTAAGATTCCTGACACAGCTTAAGGTTTTAAAATATAATGTATAGTTCTTTCTGTAAAGGGAGCAGATTGTATTTTTTGTGAATCTGAATGTTTATGATTTTGTAGATTTTTTAATGTTCCGCCATTCGATCTCAAAATTGCACAGTTCAGAAAAGTTTGTAAAAGAATGCATGGATGTTCTTGACATCTCCAACTGGAATTGGATGAAGATAGGAACATTTTGTGGAGGACAGGTCAGACTCCATACCTCTTGGTCTTGATCTTAAGCCCATCCACTTTTATCTTATTTGGAATGGAAACTTTGTGTGCATTATAATGTATATTTGCATTGTTGACTTCATCATCACATGCACAATTCATTTCACATTCTTCAGCACTGCTGGGAGGATTTAATGCAGGGGCACACGTAATTTCTCTCCTCTTTTTCCCCACACAAGTTTAACTAAAACTCCCATGAGTACATGGTAAGATGTTCCTTGGGCAGTTCCTATTCAAGCAAGAAAAAGCCTGCCTGGGGCAGTGGAAGAAGTTTGGGAGAGACAGAGAGGTGGGGATGAAAATGGAAAGGTGAGTACACTATTTCCTATGCTACTATGCTTACATAGACATCTGCAGAACTACAGAGGGGCAGTGAGGGGAACAATCTCCTCCAAGAGTAGAGGAATCTTGCAGGTCCCCAGAGCAGGAAATATACTGATCAAACTCAGTAAACGGGTGCTTGAAATGAGCAGAACACAAGATGAGGAGGAGGATTACAACACACAGGACTGACAAAGGTAGTTATTATTTTTTTTTGTGGAGTTGGGCTTTAATGTGATACCCACAACTGCCAGAAGAAGAGGGAGAGGGGGTTGCACAGACTTTTCACTGTTATAGAAAGTGTATCAGGGGTCATTTCTGAACACATTTTCATGAATTGTGGTAAGGGTCATAGGATCTTAGTTTCTTTCTCAAGGTCATAACACGGTGATAGTTATATTGCAATTGTATTGTTCAAAAAGGGGGTCAGTTGCGGGATTTGTTTCTTTTGTGGAGAGCCATTACAGGTGTTTAGTAAAATGGTATAATCATGTTTGCTCTGTGAACATAAACATTTGTAATCTTGTACTTATAATCCCAGGTGGGAAGTGATGTTTTCAGCAGACTGGAGAGAGTGAGTGCAAGATTTGAGGAGAAATCAGAAGTTGGGAATATAATTACTAAGCTTTTAATCATCGTTCTAATGAACAGGTATAGCCAGGATGTCAGTGGGAGTTTAGAATATAATCATGGGTCCCCCAAATCATGAAATTATAAGTTTCCTGTTAACTGAACTCAAAACTTGGATTGTCTATTACAGCAACGGTTCACAGCCTTGTGATACATTATTGGGTCTGGGAACCCATTTCCCACAATTATCCTTACATCCTTGCACTGCATAATGTCTGCAACAAATATAGCAGCTTTGGTGAGAAATGCATTTTTAATCTATTTTAATCTATTACTGCGCCCAAATCAAGTGAAAATGACAGTCCCAAGTTTTTAGATTCTTCATGAGGTATTTTTGTAACAGAAGAAAGTTAAATAGAAGAAGTTATTGAGATTTATTTTATGTGTAGCACCACCCCCTTAGGAGTCACTGAAGTTTTAGGTCCCCCTATAGTCATGCACAGCCAGGCAACATGCATTTTCCATACAGACTTGCATACAGGAGACAGTAACCAGTCTTTGAGCTTTGTTTTAAAGTTTTATTAGGGGATTGAAGCTGGATGGGGTAAGGGGTGTATGGTATACCCCAAGAAAATAGCAACTGAGTAAAAACTCCCTGGAACCATATACAAGTCTTTACAGCAAAAATGATCTTCTGTAGAGCTAGACAGCATCTCCTGTAGTACCACCCCAGACTCTACTGATCCAGCTGTCCTGGGTGAATCCCTGGGCAAGGGATACAATATCTGCCACCTTAAAAGAACACAGTCCTGGGTAGTAAGCTAATCCAGTCTCTCACTGAAGTGCCCCTTCCCCTTACTGGCCCAGGGAGTGCAGGTCTACTCACTCAGTCCTTCTCCTATGCTGCTGGTGGGTCAGTGGCTGCTACCAGGTCTTCTAGCTGTACCATCCCTTTGCTGTTGCATAGGTGGTCCTTGCTCTGGGGGCCAGTGAAGTCCCAAGCTTTTTTCCTTCCAAGCTTCCATGCCTTTAGGTAAGCCCCTTTCCATCTGGCCCCCCTCTCAGGCTCCTGCTCTCCAGCCTCACTTCTCCATTTTTCACCTGAAACTCTCCTAATGCTGTACTGGCTCTTTGACTTTTAAGGGCTATTATTATTATTATTATACAGGATTTATATAGCACCAACAGTCTGTGCAGCGCTTTACAATATAAGGGAGACAGTACAATTACAATACATTTCAGTACAGAAGGAATAGAAGGGCCCTGCTCGTGGAGCTTACAATCCTGGCCCCATGCTAAGCCTCCTGTTGGGGATTGATCATGATCCCTTAAGAGTACAGGTAAAGCCACCCCTCACGTATTCTCAAACTTTCTCCAAAGAGCAGGGGGAAGCCCCAGAGAGCTGGTCTGCAGAGCTTCTCAGCCCTGACCTGAATTTGACCCCCTGACTATTTCTCCCTGGCTGCTACTTAGCCTCTGAGTAACAATTAAAATTTGAGCTCCCCCTAGCTACCTAGGAGGGTGCTACATATGTGAGAGGGGGCCATCTAAAT